TTCTTGACTCCTGGCAGTCCTTTAAGAATACTCGCGATGGACTCTTGAAAGATCTCAGAAGCCGCATTGATGCCGAACATTAGGCGTTTGTAGCGGTAGAGAGCCTTGTGCGTGCTAAAAGTCGTGATATATCTGCTCTCAGGATGCAACTCTAGTTGATGATATCCAGAGGAGAGATCGAGCGTGCTGAAAACTGTCGCGCCATTAAGATCAGAAATCAGTTCATCCATAGTGGGCATCAAATGTCTTTCGCGGCGGACAGCTTTGTTCGCTTCACGCATGTCGACGCATATGCGCACTTCTCCGGATTTCTTTGGAACTATAACGACTGGACTGACCCAGGGCGTTGGGCCGTCCGCTTTCTCGATGATATCCTGGGCCTCCAGTCGATCGAGTGTTGCTTCGACATCTTTTCGAACATGATGCGCCCCGCTCGTGTGGCTGCTGCTTCGGGCGGACATCTTCGTCGATGTGCAATCTCACCATCTTGTCCTTGATTTTGCCGATGCCATCAAAAAGTTGTGGGAACTGCCTGGCAGTGGGGTGGGATGGTACAGTAATGATTAGGATTTTCTTGGACTGCGTTAGCGAGCAGTAGGTCCAAGGTCTTGAGCTGCACGGCTCCTAGAGGTTACCTCCGGAGCCCTTGACAACGTGTAGTTTTGTGTCAAGCGTCTTAGAGTCGTAACTGGACGCTTGATGGACCACACGAGGACTGGCAAAGGCTTGCTGGAACCATACGAGTAGATTCGCGATGATGGTGACTCGAGTGGTGGGCGTTCAGGAAATGCGTCATACGTGGCTTGATCGAGGATGTTGACGGATGCGCCTGAATCGATGGTCATTTGGACTGGAATTGCTGTGCGGCCAATCTTAACTGAGCAAGATGGCAGGCGTCTGGACGAGTTTCGTGTTGTAGCGGTCCAAATGTATTCTCTCTCATCATCGGATTCTTCGTAGTTGCTCACATTGCTGACAACATTTGCTTGGTGTGGCGACGGGTTGTCCATATTGGAGCTACTCGATTTGCAAACCTGAGCAAAATGATCGCGTTTTCCGCATTTTGCACATGTCTTTCCCCTAGCAGGGCAGTTCAGGTGGGGCAGGTTGTAGCCACAATAGTAACACTTGCCGGTGTTGTTGCGTCGTCTGCTACCATTGTCGGGGCGTCGGCGTGATTGGGACCTCCCATTGGCGTGGTGGCTGGACTGCGAGCGTCGATAGGACTGCGAGTTGGAGCGTGTCCTTCCACGTGATTGTTGCCGCTTGTCACGAGATTGATGCTGGTCCTTCATAAAATTTACCGTGTCCGAATTGCTGGCCTCCACGGTTTTAGCTTGCGTTCACTATCTCTAGTGAGCGTGCAGTTTTATTAGATTGTCAAGGTTCAGATTGTCTCTTAGTGCTCTGCGGCGGAGACTCTGGGACTTGCACGAAAAAATGATTTGGTTGGCGATTTCAATCTTGTCGTCGGCAAAACCACACGACTTAGCAAGTTGACGAAGGCGTGTCGCGAACGCATCCATGTTTTCGCCACCTTTCTGCGTTGCCTGGCGGAAGTTGTATACTTCAAAAGCTGTGTTAGCCTTCGGCGTGAAGTACGCATTGAGGGCGGCTGTGGCGACACTGTATTCAGTGGCATCGCCCGTAGCCTCCTCGATTGTAATGTGTCGAATATCTCGTCGACATCCGTTCCTGCATAATGTAGCAACATTGGGTTTCCGGGTGACATCGGTAATAGCCATGGCAGTCATCAGTCTCTCAAAGCGTGTCAGCCATTTTTCCCATCTGGGGCCAATATTTGAGTCGAGATTCACCTCAAATGCGGGGAATGCTGGCAGCGCCATTATCGTTGGATCAGCGGGAGTGGTGGTTGACGCTTCAGCAATTACAGGAGCATTGGGTACAGCAACAGACTCATCGGACATAGCAGTCACGTGAGTACAACAGCGGCTCCACTACCTCCACTACACTCCTCCAAACAGAACAAAGGAATTCGCCATGCGCTTTATGGCATCTCATTAAATGGCTCCACAAGGCTGAGCTGTACCTTGAAAAATTCTCCAGGCTGGTTTATTGCGTGCGCTGGGTCTTCATAGTTATCCTTGTCGCCAGATGATATGTTTGAGCCAAGTATTGAGTAACAATAAGATGCTTTATTCCGATGACAAAATAGACACTACAGGATGGTTGACATGTTTGGCGGTGTGCCCCCATAGGTGGCAGCACCTGCTGGAGCTGGTCTCGCTAAATGCATAATAAACATAACAGTCACCGCTAAAACTAAAAAGTTTTTCAATCGCTCCGTCAGACCATGTCCTCAGAAAATGTCTAAAATCTGCCCTGTGCCCCATTGACCTTTGACCTGTGACCTCAATTTCGGCACAGGTGATGGCTTTTCCTACCATGATGCTATACACCGACTATCACGAGCCTAGGTCGAGCCGTTTAGATTTGTGCCGCAATTCTGCATTTCTCTCCTATACCTTAAGTTAAGGAGTGAATGTTTCCCCTTCTTTTACACCTCTTGACCTTTGACCTTTGACCCCCAGCTTCGACATCCCAACTCGTTTTGACGATCCCCCCGATGTGCCGATTCGTGACTGTATGTCAAGCGGTTAAATTTGTGCCCAACTGTTGACGGACGGACACACGATCATGCGATTCTACAAGCTGCATCTGACTATGTCAGATGGCTAAAATCCTCCAAATATCCGCTTAACATTACGAGAGTCCAGACACTCTCGTAACTTTAATATTAAGTTGAAATAACACATTTACAATACGAATTACAATTATAGTGATATTTATATTTTATAATAATGAATAATAATTTTTGAAAAACATGTCAAAATTATTATTTATCTACTGCTAATAAACAAGTGCCGCGGAGCGACAGCGCTCATCTAACATCTACTGCGGTGACTCTGTGGTGGAGTGGTGGGATTCTAGTAAACCCTGTTAGTCCCAAATGTGTTCACATACGCCGCCGAAACAGTAGAAGGCACAGGGATGTATCAGAAACCTTCTCAAAGAATGTTCGTTGGGATCGTTATGAAAGTTGCCACGAGATGGTGCGTACGTTTAAGTGTCTTAAGATTAAAGATGGAAGCTCCCATCGTACGTAGTAGCAACAAATATTTTGCAAGCAGAATAGGTAAGCACTCATCCATTTACCTACGCAAGCCTACAGGCTGAAATAGAGAGCTCTGCCACCTGTAACCTAATTAACACAGGCAAAATCTACAAAGTAACTATCGCCACTAATGCACTGGCAGTGGCATAAGTTACATGTAACACACTGAAATACAGAATGCCATTTTAAGGAGCATAAACCTTCTTCAACCAAATTTAGCTTTGAAATTTCACTGTGACATTGTAGCCTGATACATCCAGGCATGTATAGATTCTACTAACAAACCCGGCAGTCAAATTATTTCTAACAGTAAACAAATCCATGTTTAACCCTCCTCTTGAGGGTAAAAAGGTTATCCGACACTTACTCTTTGCATGTCAGCCGAAAGTACATTTCATGGTCCTTTCAATAAAGCCATAAAAATGCTAGGTCACTGCTGAAGCAAAAAAGTTTTTCAATCGCTCCGTCAGACCATGTCCTCAGAAAATGTCTAAAATCTGCCCTGTGCCCCATTGACCTTTGACCTGTGACCTCAAATTTCGGCACAGTGATGGCTTTTCCTACCATGATGCTATACACCAACTATCACAAGCCTAGGTCAAGCCGTTTAGATTTGTGCCGCAATTCTGCATTTCCTCCCTATACCTTAAGTTAAGGAGGGAATGTTCCCCCTTCTTTTACACCTCTTGACCTTTGACCTTTGAACCCCAGCTTCGACATACCAACTCGTTTTCGGATTACCCCCCACGTCCCAAATATCGTGACCGTACGTCGAGCGGTCAAGATTTGTGCCCAACTGTTGACGGACGGACGGACGGACACACGCACGCACGAACGGACGATCATGCGATTCTACAAGCTGCATCTGACTACGTCAGATGAGCTAACAAAACAATACATTTACAAATGGCGTATGGCATTTGTTCTCTAGTTTTTAATGTTTACCATGCTTGCCACAACTATCGCATCTCGCGTTACAGTGTGATAATTTGTCTTGTTGTGCAGAATAACTTCATGACCACGTCATTTTTCATCAAATATTATTTATATGTGGTTAGCCATCATAATATTCATAAATTACTGTGATGTACAATAAATGTGTATGAATTTGAATTTTGTGATCGATTCCCATCCAATCAGCAGCCTTGTGATGAAGTTCCTGTTATCGTAAGTTTTCTAATAGCTGCGATGTGTTTCTGTCAATGCTAGTCTCGCAACATTAGCATTAGCCGTAATTGTTATCGTAGCATTAACTTTAGCATTAACTTTACGATGTTTCTGACAACGGCCCCCAGGTATTCAATAAATTTATGTCACCGACAATGCTGAAATTAGGGGAAATTTTCCCACTATATGTATCTGCCCGAGTTTGGTTTAGTTGAGAAATGATGGCGGGCGCGGCAAGTTAAGTCTATACGCGTCTTTAGACTTTACTACCGGATTAAACCACATTGATACTTAGACAATAAAATCGGTTCCAACCACCATGCTGCTTTATTCACCAGACCCTGCTAATTACGTGTTAGCTGACCTCAGGGTTTCGGCGGCAAACTCTGCGGCAATCACACGTCAGTGTGAAAGACGGCGGCATACGCAAAGTTCGTTTTTGTTAGTCGCTCGTGTAGCCAGCTTTTTCTATATATATATGTGGATTATGTAGTGATGTAAAGGGATGTAAAGGTGTCACAAATCTTCGGTGAGTTACTAGTTTTGTATCATAATTTTAAAGACACTGAAAATATTATGATTGCTTGATTTAGTTCAGTGGGAGTCATAAACCACATATGTAGGTATAGCCATCCTTGATTTCGATTGCAGGGGCGGTTTAGGTTATACGTATTTGAGAGTTTAAGGTGCAGTTCAGTTAATACAGTAGTGTACTTATTTCTGCAGTTTAGAACTTCGTTCATGATAATTGCTGAGATAGAACTGTATTAGGTGTATCTTAGGTGTTAATTGCCTACGCGTAAGGAATGATGTTAACCATAGCTGAGCGATTGTTTATAAATATTCACGTAATGCTTAAAGTTTCTAGAACTTAACGTAATTTAGTAAAGTAATTTTTTGTTGCGTTGTTTCAGTGAATCACACTGTCGTTATTGTCGCCACTATCGTTATCGTCGACACGCTGCCGTTATCGTTGCCACTATCGTTATCATCCTGTCGTTACCGTCGCCATTGTCGTAGTCAAACGCGCACACACGCACGCGCTATCGCTGTCAAGTTATCGATCGTAACCGTTATCGTCATCGTCACCGTCGGTGTTTCGTACACGTTTGTGGTGAAATAATATAACTTTGAAGAGACAGATTCTGTTAGTGACGCATACATCTTCGTTTTGTTTACTACATCCTACACTATATATATATGCAATTACCTACCAAGCTCCATTGCACCCTTGAAGTCATAGGGTGGTTTTGGTGTTTCTCTTGCTCTGTCCGGGTCTAATGAACGATCTATGAATGTTATTGGTCCCGAGTGTGGTTTGGTCTGTCTGGAAGTTTGGTCTAGCATTGCATTCTTCCTTGGTTTAGTGGTTGGCCTAACTGCTTTGTCTCTCGTTGGTGTCTCATCTTCAGAACTGCAACAGCAGTGAATAGTTGTAAATAACATCTGCTATTACATTCAATTTGCTCATGTGGCATATGATCGGGGAGATTAGGAAATGACATTACACTTCATTATAACTATCACAAATCATTCATTACTCACTCATCTGGTGGCTTCTTTGCTTCGATATGACGTTTTGTTTTCTGTGGTCCATAGTCAACCCCTTCTGACGGACTATCCCAGTCACTGTTACTCTGGAAAACAGTCAACATTTTAGTGACATATAGTATCGTAGAAAATTTGTGGTACATGGCAGCACCACCGTTAGTGTTTTAGGTATCACTTCATTTTAAGTTGTATATAGAGATGCCAGATAAAGGTTCAAGGATATAAGAGTTGTCCCCAATTCATTTTACATAATACTTTTCATTTTACTGACATAATAGTGTGCTTAGCCTCTAGTATTATGTCACTCCTGATATTATTGTGACTGAAGACATTTATGAAAGTCAGACAATCAATTAATTCACAATCGTACCAAGTAGTGGGGGAACACGTGAAAGTGGAATCGACAAAACTAAGGTTGCGACGTAACTTACCAAAAGAACCATCACGCTTTCTTACAAATATAATCAATGTGTGCATTCCAGCAAAGATTGCTACTAATAATAACACCTAAATATTTGTACGTAGGAGTAAGAGATAGATATTTACAATAACGCAGTGGCTACGCGTCCGGAATCGGTCGCCTAGCCTCCAGGCTACGCATCCGGACATCCACTCACACAGTGATCGCGCGACTCGCGCACACGCATGATTGCACAATGGGACGCTCTGCTAATTGCCGAAAATATACAATATACGTTAATGGTTAGGGTTAGGGTTAGGTTAAGCCTCCCATTGATACCTATATCACGATATTTATGATATTAAAGTTGGGAACGCTCCTAATGGAGTGTTAGCTGCAAAATATATGCACTGCTGCCAGCTATCCTTTCATCCGCCCCATATCTCTCGCGCTCTCTCTCTCGCTCACACACGCACTCTCTCTCTCTCTCTCTCACACACCTCTAGCTCTCGCTCTCTCTCTCTCTCTCTCTCTCTCTCTCTCACACACACACACCTCTAGTTCTATCTCGCTCTCTCTCTCACACACACACACACACACACACACACACACACACAGACACACACACACACACGCACACACACACACTCGGCAATCAGCAGAGCGTCCCGTTGCGCAATCATGAGTGTACGTGTCGCAAGACACACTGTGTGAGATGGATGTCCGGACGCGTAGGCGAACCGGTCGCGTAGCCACGGCCTTATAATAAAGTGAGTAAGTAAGTAGGCCAGGGTATTTTAGAGTGGGTAATGCACAAAAACGGAGTGGCTGGAGGTACGACAGCTGTCGTTCGTTGAAGCCCCTTTTTGGCGTTTGTTTGAGGGCTGAGGCAATTATGTGCGATCTTCTGATCAATGTAAAGTTTACAATAATGTTCATTTTTGTACCTAATCCGAGTGTTTCTAGCTCATCAAAACTCACAAATCGTGAATTTATTTCCCAAGGCGTTATTTCGAAATCTGCCGCCATCCGCCGCCATCTTTGTCTCGTTACGTATGAATGCGAATGGACTGCCGTACCTCCAGCCTCGTAAATTAGAGATACGGCTGCTGTACCTCCAGCGGTTCAAGGATAGAGATGATGTCCAGGACGGTGATTGGATAGGATGATGTTCAGGACATGCTCTCTATCCTTGAGCCCCTCCAGCCATAGCTCTAGAACTATAGCCCTCCGCTCCGCCGCAGGGCTATAGAACATACTATGGCAATTTCCAGGTAGTAAAACAACTTTTTGCGCTTAATAACTTCTTCGGTACGCCAAATAAAGCACATTCTCTGTCGCACAAATGTCTTAAGTTACTATAAACACTAAAATTAAACCGCAAACTAACGCTTAAATGTTGTACTTGCTATATTACTCGTCGACGAAGATTGTTTACAAACTTGTAACCGCCATTTTTCGCTAGTGCGCGGGCACAATGTATGGAGGGGTGGAGGGTGAGCAGGTTGCATGCGGTTGCAAACCGCCATTTTTCATTGCGCAGCGCTAGCGCGGTTTGCAACCGCTTGCAAACTGCCCACCCCTCCACTTGGAAATACATTGTGCCCGCTCACTAACAAAAAATAATCTAAAGCTACGTCTACACGACGAACCTTAACTCGAGTTAAGCGTCTACACGGGGGGCCTTAACTCGAGTTAAGGTAACTCAAGTTAGCGTTAACTCGAGTTAGCTTAACCTCGCCAGTCGATCGAGGTTAAGCTAACTCGAGTTACCTTAACTTGAGTTAAGGCCCGTGTAGACGCTTAACTCGAGTTAGCTTAACCTCCACGACAGGTGGCAGCACTAGTACCTGCACACACACGCACGTACGCACGTACGCACACACGTGTACCTGCACAAGCACGCACGCACGCACGAACGTGTACCTGCACACGCGCACACACACGCACGCATGCACGCACATGTACGTGCACACGCACTCACGCATGCACGCACGTGTACGCGCACACGCACGCACGCACGAACGCGCGTGTACGTACACACGCATGCACGCATGCATAATAAATTGGTAATAATCGCTATCGGGTGTTGTCGTGTAGACGCTACATAATCGCTAACTCGAGTTAAGGTTCGTCGTGTAGACGAGGCTTCTGTCACAGGTAACTAGCATACTATGGGAAATGAAATATTTTTTATACCATATCACACAGTTGTGTAGAGCCGATGCCGATAGGAGAACTTCCTTTTGCTGACTTCGGCTTTAGTAGCTTTCTTTCACGAATGATTCTTCAACATTGCAACAGACAGCGTACGCGGGCTATAGTTACAAGAGCTAGAGATTGAGAACAGAATTTATATTTATATTTATAATTATATTTTTAAGTATAACGTGAATGTCGGCCCAAGGATAGAGAACATGGTCCCAATAAAACCAATGTGCCTAACGGCCCAAGGATAGAGAACATGGGTCACAATAAAACCAATGTGCCTAAACCTAACCCTAACCCTAATTCTACCCCTAACTCTAACCCTAACCATAACCCTAACCTATTATATTGATGTAATATTATATTTATATTGATGTAAATTACATTGGTTTTATTGGGACCCATGTTCTCTATCCTTGAACCTGCCTAAACCTATCCATAACCCTATTAAACCTAGTATTATATTGATATAATATTATATTTATATTGATGTAAGTGACATTGGTTTTATTGGGACCCATGTTCTCTATCCTTGAACTAGCCCGACCAGGCTGTGCGACGGATTGTCTATATTGTAACCCTAGCAATACCGTTTCTTGGAGCTATCCTTGAACCTGAATCACTACTCAATCAGTGAATGTCCCCGTTCTAGGCAGCGGCTCTATGTGCGGGTTCTAACTTCTAGTGTTTCTATGCATTCTCATATTTCATGACTCTGCATCGCTATCGTTTGTATATTTATCTAATTCTTAGCCGCAAGTTGTACACATATTTTGTTGGTAGAGACCACATATATCATTACTTACGGTGATAAATATAATATTATAAAGTAAAGATATCTACTCTAATTTCTAAATATTTGTTACGATCGCAATGCACTGCACCGGATGTATTACCAGATGTATGTTGTAACCATAGAGTTATATATTACTTATTAGACCCTATATTATTTATTATTATTATTTCCAAAGTGGATCACGGCATTAGCCGGTGGCTTCTGGGTTGACCGTGTACCAACCTGGGACATAGAGATTCAATCCAGAATTTTTCGCAGGATGTGTGCTGTTCCCAGTAGTGCGATTTTCTGCACTTCTTGGGCAGTGTGGTAGCCAGGAAGTTCCTTAAGGTTCTTCTCAAAACCATTCTTTATAGAGCCAAGGACTCCAACCACCACTGGTACAATTCTCGTCTTAGTATTCCCCATCCTCCTAATTTCGATCTCCAGATCTTTGTACTTGGTGAGTTTGTCTTTTTCCTTCACCATGATGTTAGAATCATCTGGTACGGCTACGTCAATCAACAGGCATCGTTTTTCTACATTGAGAACTCTATGGAGCGCTATTTCAACGTAATAGACATACTTTTGGTGCGCGATTTCAACCACTTCTATGAGGTGCGATGATGCGCGCACCATGGCACAATTTCGGGTGCGCGGTGGAGCGCGAGCGCGATCGCGCCCCTTAAAAATGAAAGCCTGCCAATTACGCAACGGCATGCCTGCTCCTTAAGAAAAGGTTTGGCAGACGAGAGCTGCTCCTTACTGGCCACATGCAAGCGCTGTTGTCACTATCTATGACAAACACAGGCTCATATACTGAGTCGCTTAGGAAGCTGCAAGATAAGCTATTGATACATGTGAGGGGATTGGAGGCGCTCGAAATTCCAGGAGAGAAATATGGAGTTCTCCTCACACCTGTCGTCCTTTCCAGGCTACCCCCGCATGTTCGACTAGAGTGGGCACGATGCAGCGAAGGAAAGGAGTGCTACTTACAACAACTCCTCTTCTTAAAGACGGAAGTCGAGCTGCGTGAGAGGCCAGAGGCCGTCAAGGAAGTCATGTCTCCCACTCCGCTTGAAAGGAATCTGCTGCCTAACTCGACGTCAGAAAGGAGGAGGAATGCAAGGGTGCCATCTGCTTCCGCTCTACAGACGACCTCTGATGACGAGCGCTGCGTATTCTGTGAGCATGCTCATTCTTCTAGTGATTGCCATGCCCGGAAGCTAGAGGAGCTCTCTGTAGAAGCTCGACGAAAGAGGGTGCAAAGTAGTGGTTTATGCTTTGCCTGTTTGAAGCCAGGCCATGTGGCTCGATTTTGTAAGGGTAAATGTACACAGTGTAGGCTGCGATACCATCATCATCTACTGTGTAAGGCAGAGAAGAATGTCAAGTCTTACGGCAGTAGTGGGAGTAAGAGATATCTGATGATATGTCGCATGTGGGTGTCGCCTCCTCTAAGCAAAAGGTGCTTACAGGCGTTTTACTACAGACTGCATGTGTGCTGGTGGAGGGGGAAGGTGGTCCGGTGAAGGCAACTCTGTTGTTCGATTCTGGGTCAGACCATTCTTATGTGACCAGCGCATTGGTTCGCAAGGTTCGACCAAAATGGCTGTCCACAATCAAGCTAGCATATTCGGCCTTTGGTGGAAGCAAATCTGTAGCAAGGGATCGTAGCGTGTATGAAATTAGGGCTAGGGGTGCAGTAGAGCGAGGGGCTCCCAGAGTCAAGTTCGCTGCTGTGGAAGTGCCTGTGATCTGTGCTTCCCTTCAGCACCCTAGAGTATCAGTAAATTCACTAGTCAAGTCGTGCGATTTACCCCTTGCGGACATCTATTCAGGTGGCGAGGAGGCCTCGGTTGATATCCTAATAGGCATGGATCACTACTGGGACCTTGTGAAAGACGGGATGAAACGTTTGCCTGAAGGTCCAGTCCTGCTCGAGACCTTATTTGGTTGGGTCTTATCTGGTAGAAAAGCGGGAGGGGGTGTCCAGTTGGAGCCACTCTCGCTATTATGCGTTGGGAATGATTTAGAGCCTGCTCTTCGCAACTTCTGGGAGCTAGAGTCAATAAGTATTTTTGAGGGAGAAAAAGGGCTACCGGATCGGGTCTTGGAGACTTTCAATGAGACTATCACGTTCGTAGATGGTCGATATGAGGTTGCCCTCCCATGGAAGGAGCCCGCAAGCCTACCCAAGTTACTGAATAATGAGAGACAGGCAGAAGCTCGTCTACAAGGTTTATCCCGTAAGTTGAGTCGAGATAGCTCATTAGCCGATAGTTATAGAGGCGCCCTGCATGAGATGGAAGAGAATGGGGTAATTGAAGAGGTCCCTAAGCATGAAGTGAGTGTGCCTTGGCCCATTTTCTATCTGCCTCATAGACCGGTCGTGAAAGAAAGCCGTACATCAACAAAGGTTCGTCCTGTTTTTGATGCATCAGCAAAGGGCTCTAATGGGGTGTCCCTCAACGACTGCCTCGAGACTGGACCATCATTGATACCGAGTTTAGTAGAAGTCCTAGTGCGTTACCGACGTTGGCCTGTGGCTTTGACAGCGGATATCACAAAAGCCTTCTTACAGGTGCAACTAGGTAGGGAAGATCGAGATGTTCACCGATTTCTTTGGGATGATGGTAATTCTGTTCGGAAAATGCGTTTCCGTCGGGTTACTTTTGGAATTAACAGTAGCCCCTTTCGGCTGAATGCCACCATTGCCCATCATCTCGAATCGCTGCCCTCTACGCCCGTGATTGAGGAGCTCAAAGAGAATCTTTACGTTGATGATTGGCTATCAGGTGCAAACAGCGTGGAAGAGGCCTGTGCCATGTTCACTGAGGCCCAAGCTGTCATGCAGAAGGCAGGGATGGTTCTTGCGAAGTGGGGATCAAACAGTCGGGTAGTTACTTACATGTGGAGCAAGTCGCTAGAAAGCACTTCACCAGAGGCTGGATCTCGTAAAATACTTGGAGTGAGTTGGTTGTCGCAAGATGATGCTTTCTCCTTTGAGGGAGTAGAGGTGCCGCCTAATCTGGTAATCACTAAGAGCATTGTCCTGAGCTGTATCGCTAGGCTTTTCGACCCACTGGGGTTCCTCATGCCATTCTCAATGACGGCAAAGTGTATATTTCAAGAGTTGTGGCAGATGGGCTTGCAGTGGGATGAGGAGGTATCAGAGGTGGTCAACTCGAGATTTTCTCGTTGGCTGGCAGGTCTCAAACTGCTATGTGAGTGGCGGATTCCCCGGTGCTACGCACAGGTTGCATGGAAGAGCCACAGAGAAATAGAGCTTCATGTCTTTGGGGATGCCTCTGAGCGTGGATATGGAGCAGTGGTGTACACCAACTCCTTAGGGAACCTTTGAAACGTCGTTAGTTATGTCAAGGGCCAGGGTTGCTCCTCTAAAGAAGGTCTGCCTTCCACGCTTGGAGTTGCTTGGTAGTCTCCTTGCTGCTAGGCTCCTGAGGTTTGTCAGACAAGCTTTTAGGCTGCCCAACAATGTAGCATACAGTTGCTGGACAGACTCTAGGGTGGCGTTGGCATGGATTCAAAGAGACCATAAGAAATGGAAGCAATTCGTGACCAATAGAGTGTTGGAAATACAGGATATTACTGATCCTTCCCGTTGGTTCTACTGCCCTGGCAAGCAGAATCCTGCAGATCTGACTACCCGAGGATTGTATGCAGAAGAGCTTATGTCCTCTGACCTGTGGTTAGCTGGACCACCTTGGTTGAGTCGACCCAAAGAAGAATTCTGTGGGCCTATCGAGTGCAGTCAGGCAGTGGAAGAACCACCATTTGATGAGAGGGTCGTAATGCTGACCGCAAAGGCAACCTCACAGCCCTCTCCGCTGCTGAAGGTTGAACGTTGGAGCTCAATTTCCAAGGCAATTCGTGTTACTGGATGGTTCCTTCGCTTTATCCATAATGGAAGGGTGTGTAAGAATCATAGAAGGTCTGGGGATCTTTCTACAGATGAGCTGCCAGCTGCCAAACAGCAGATAATTCACCAATGTCAATGGGATATGCATCATTTGGAGTTAAAGCCCTATGACGAGGTAGACCCATAGCTAGGTCATCTCCGATAGCTAAACTGGCCCCTTTCATTGGTGATGATGGACTGCTTAGAGTGAGAGGCCGGCTTCTGTTATCGGATCTTGCATATGAAGAAAGACATCCGATCATTCTTCCTTCAGGTCATGCCTCTTTGTTGTTGGTACGGTCCCAGCATCAGTTGCTTAAGCATGCTGGAGGCGAAACTCTTGTCTCGTCTCTAAGAGACAAGTATTGGATCGTAAGACTAAGACGTCTTGCTAAGAAAATCAAGCGCGAATGTGCGCCTTGCCAAAGGCAGGATGCGAGAGCATGTAATCAGGTGGTGGCTCCCCTGCCAAAATTGAGGGTAACTCAGGGTCCGCCGTTCTCTATTGTTGGTATTGACTTTGCCGGACCATTATATTGCAGGGATGTGCCTAAGCGTAAGCTATATATATGTCTGTTCACCTGTGGGGTAATTCGTGCAATACACTTAGAACTCACAGACTCGTTGTCAACTGTTGAGTTTTTACTGAGTCTCAGACGATTCGTGGCCCGTAGGGGCATGCCATCTGTGTTGTATACGGACAACGCTAAGACCTTTAAAGGGGCTGAAGTGCGATTGCAGAAGTATTTTGGTTGTTCCCTCCCTAAATGGAGATATATTGCCCCGCGTTCTCCATGGTGGGGAGGCTGGTGGGAGCGCTTAATTCGTTCTGTAAAATCAGCACTTAAAAGGTCGTTAGGTGTCGGTTGTCTCAGTAGAGCAGAACTCGAGACCACTCTTCATGAAATTGAGGCGTGCATCAATTCGCGTCCACTCTCATTGGCCGTGTATGATGTGGACTCTACTAACCCTTTGACACCGAGCCATTTTTTGATTGGGCGGCGTGCTGGGTTTCAGCCAGTGGTAGCTGAGGAGCCGGTGGACATCTCCCCTCAAGCATTGACTGCCAGAGAAAGGATGCGGGTAGAACGCCTTGACAGTTTCTGGGCAGTATGGCGAGATAAATATATGCGCAACCTTCCGCCTGCCGTGACTAGATTTCAGCCATATGGTAATCTGCAGATTGGTTCCGTTGTCCTGATTCGTACAGGTCAACAGAAATGGCGCTTGAAATATCCGCCGCTCGTCACTTCGAATTTTTGTAACAGGTTATATTAGTTTAATACAGAGTATTGCGATACATAGTAAGTTCCCGGATAGCGGAGAAAGGTTCGTGTTGAGAATAAACCCAGTTTGGAAGTTCTAGTCTCTGAAAACGCACCAGCAAACCGGCCCGAGTGATTCACTCGGGTATTCCTCTGCACAAAAGGATAGGGAGGCTTTGTAACCCTATCCTCTTGGGTTTGGGTTACATTATTGTATCTACGTCTACGCCTACTCCCTAACCCGAACCCGAACCCTAACCCTAACCCTATCCCTAACCCTAACCCTAACCATATCAAATAGTGACCAGGGTACGTTCCGGTATACCGGACCGTACCCAGGGTACGTTCCCCCAGTACCCTGGGGGACATAGACCCTATGAGCGCCAGTTACTGGCATTGCCTTTAGATTAGGCATTGACGCCATTGTACTAGCTACTACCTACCACAGGCACCTATATCTAACACGATCCCCCAATGCGAGCACCGAAGGTGTGAGAAGGTAGGACATACAATTTCACGACTTTATCAAATCGGACCTTTTTTAGATAAAAAATGTGAATGTTTCAATTAAAATACATGTGCATACACTTTCTTAGTTTGTATTGTTGTCTCCGGCGTCTTTGGTTGAACTGTCAATCATGTATTACAGCGTATATAGCATATATTCCATATTTGTGAAAAATTAACAGTTCCCACACGTTACAAAAATGGCGGCGACTTGTGTTTCAAATTTTGTCCAATCAGGTGGCGGCATTACATGCAGCTCGAAATCGTAGCGAAATATGTCAACACCATGACCGCCATTGAACGTGTGGGAACTGTTAATTTTTTACTGGCTACAGATTTTACTCTCCTAACGCTGTCAAATATTATCGACAGTGCAAACATATTACAGGGGAGGTTAGTACAACAAAGTAAGAATACGGGGATGTGCATATTTTTATTGAGAATCAAAAACTTTCATTGATATCGGACATTCGTGAAATTGTGTGTCCTACATTCTCACACCTTCGGTGCTCGCATTGGGGGATCATGTTAGATATAGGTGCCTGTGCTACCTACTAGTACTATACTAGTAGTAGTACTAGTACTAGTAGTAATGCTGAGAGGGTCTATGTCTCCCAGGGTACTGCCAGAACGTACCCTGGGTACGGTCCGGTATACCGGAATGTACCCTGGTATCATCTCTGGTATATGCTCTGCTGGTACTATCTAATTTTATACAATAATGTAACCCAAACCCAGGATAGGGTTACAACGCGTCGCTATGGTTTTCTGTGGAGGAAATTCAGGGAACCCCTGAGTGAATCACTCAGGGCGGTTTGCTGGTGCGTTTTCAGAGACTAGAACTTCCAAACTGGGTTTATTCACAACACGAACCTTTCTTCGCTATCTTGGAACTTACACAATACTCTGTATTAAGCTAATATAACCTGTTACAAAAATTCGAAGTGACAAGCGGCGGATATTTCGAGCGCCATTTCTGTTGACCTGTGACGTACGCATTCCCAATGCGCATAGCGATCGGCAAACGCAGCGCCCTCCGATTGGTCGGTGAATCCGCTCTTTAAACCGAAGTTGGGTACGTTCCGGCAGTACCCAGGGAGACATAGACCCTGGCAGCGACAGAGACAGTAACAGAAACAAAGAATAATGCACTAAATAATAGGCTTTTACAATATAATAAATGTTATATATGTAAATGTATAATATAGGTCTGTAAGTATACCTAGAACCATAATCATCAAAGATCGGGAGCCAGTAGTGATGCGCTTTAAATCGGCTTCATGACATATTGCTTTGCTGCCAAATGCAGGAGCAAGAGCAAGAAGCATGTTTGGTCGACTCTCAGCTGAACACAGATGAAAACAATGTAAAAACTCGGTCAGGATGTTGATATAATGACAAACGTTCTCATTGTTTAAAATAGATCCCCACCCCCAAAGCCAACTAATTGTTAGTCTTTGTCTAGTGCATATACATTAATTATTGATTATCTTCGTTTTGTTTTGGCAGCAAGTGCTATGTGCATATTTTGCTCCGAGCTAGTGCTAAGTGAGAGGCTGTTAGTGTTAAGTGCATTTAAACCTCCGTGGAAATGCACAATTCTCACTAAACTACCAACTATGTGCATTGCTAATAAAAATGCAATTTTCCTGTTACGTTCATTATGAATAATATAGGGCCAAAAAATAGTTCTTCTATGTATATCTGTGTTGTTGTTTTTATTTAGGTTGAATATTTTATGTCGTGTATAACAAGTTTTTGATGGTTTATAATGCATTGTAAATGTAATGGTCTTACTCATGCCATTGGTGGCACATGCTACTCGTGTAATATTGTGCCTTGACGGAACTGCTTACAGCCCTTAGATTGTTGAAGGTGAAAAAGTAGGATTGGTTTGTGTGGTAAGATATACACAATAAACTTCATATTGGTGTTAAAAAGAATGTTGCATTAGGATTTATGGATCAACGTTACATTTTATTTCTGTATGGATCGTCATCTTGTATTTTATTAGTGTTAAAAGAATCACTATCTGTTTAAATGAGCATTAGTCATGAATGCAGAGCTTTTCAAATGTCACCGGTTCTCATGGCTACAGAACCTTACGATCAATACCATGGGCAATACGATTACTAACTGCCTAGAATTATGAAAACGGGTCAAAGTAAATGAAGCTTGGCTAAGATTCCTTTCACGTGTTTCCAGTGATTACATTTATCAAGTGAGCGGTACAACATTGGATCGGCGAGAACAAAATTGATTATATCTCCTGATTATATCGATCAAATTCCCCATATGTGGCTGTTGCACATGGGTGCAGGATTGATAATTTAATTTCTAAAACCTTTAATCCCATTCCTTGTCACTCGATCCAATAGCGCAAATGAGGGAAACGTGTTTTTGTCGAAAAAGCCTCTCGTAACGTTTGTGAGTTTTTGCCTCACGGCGACCAACAAAACAGAATTTTAACTAAGCAAGCATTCGGATTTCCTAGCAGCGTATGTTATACTGAAAAAACGCAAAGCTCATTAGATATTCGGCGCTTAGAAATAGTTGTGCGTGTAGCAACAGTCGTGGTGATGACAAAATCACATCATCAGTGATTCAGTCACATCTTTCCTCTATTCTCATGCTCTCATGAATACTGGCAGAATTTCAATCGCGAATACCTATCAGAAAGTTCACTTTTATGTTCACGATGAATTGCGTTCGATTCCAGTCGATATAAGCCGTCTGTGGAGCATCCCTTCAGATTAATTATTACCGGTGTGTAATATATTCGCTACACTGCTTGCTGTTTCCTCCCCTGTATCGGTGTATCCCTGCTATCCGCGTAGTAGGTGCACCCTGTACCTATTCGTACTGCCATGCTGAAGTGCTGGCCTGTAAGCTTAGGTTGGCATTGGCGTCAGAAATGACAGCACTAGCCGTTCTGCTAATACAATGTAGGCCCTACGTGCTGACATGAAATGTTGCTGGCATGTGGCGACGTGCGCGCGCACACCAACCAACACTCGCACGCACTTACGCACCCACGCACGCACGCACACACGCACAGACACAGACGTTATGTCATGCCTGCGAGGCGAAACTGGCATGGGCAGCCTGTTTCTTACAGACGTCTGCGATTGATTCAATACGACAGCACCTAGCTTTCAACAAATTTCATTACGAGATAGGTGAGCGAAAGCAAAGCATACACACTCAGAACAGCATACATCTTTATATTTATTGAATTTCCAATAACACACGCACGCATACGCGCGCGCACACACACACACGCGCGCGCACACGCAGCATTCCAGCCACCCACACGCGCACACGTGCTCATCCGCGTACGCACACAAGTGCACACGCACGCACGCGTGCGCCCTGATAGTATGTCCACCGAGTTTCTTCGTCCTTTACTACATAACGTGAAAAAATAGTATAAATCGTGTATAAACGCGAAAAAACACGCTATTTGTGATATAATGATTATACGATCGGATTACGTGTTTGACCGAACCGCCTCGTCTTCACGTTCGTACGCCTCGACATTTTTGTCGTATCGCAAAATGTTCGGAAATCCTTGCGAGGGTAAAATTGCCCCATTCGGGTTCTTCGGGTCTTTGTTCGGGTTCACTCACTAGCAGGACTCGTGGAGAAAATTCCCGCGAGCGTCTCGTTTACTCGTACACTTGAGCGGGAGTGACGTCACTTCTTGACAGACACGCGCACGTGCATATGCATTCTGTTCGACCCCCCCCCCGCTGTGTCTGCGATGGCATCTCACAGTTTGTACTTTGTTAACGTGCAGGTGGTGGAGTCCGTGGTATCTTCATTCTTGTAACGGTTTTAAAAAGAAAAGTTTTGTTAATATAATTGCAGAGTTAGCAGAGTGCAAGAGGAATCACCGCTGGCGTCAATCTAAAGATGCATGCGATGAATTCGACAAATGTCTGTGATGGTCTCAACTAGGTATTTGCTTCTTGTAGATAACTATAACTGTGCGGTGGTGACCAAGGCCGTCCCAGCTCTCAAGCTGGCAGCCTCCCAGCTTCCAAGATAGGACAGCAGTTTGCCTGTTGGACGTATCCGGAGCCCCGCCCACCCACCAGTACGGCTAGCAACGCCACCTGGCAGCCAGCTCAGCTGTACCCCAGCATCGATGGAACTAAGATGGTGAAAACCTTCCAGGTACACCTATCGCGCGCATTTTTACTAAAAACTTTTTGGAATTCTGAAAACTAGTAGAGGGCACGAACAGGCATAACCAAAATCAAACAAAACCTTATAAGTATGCGTAATTCTAATGTTAACCTTAATCTTACTTAACATTAACCATAATTCCTGACCCTAACCCTAACCCTAACCCTAAGATAACCCCAATATAGGACTGCGTAAAACTAGGCTTAATTCGGTTCCTTCTCCCCCTTTTAGTGTTTATATATCAGGGTTCTCCCTACGTTGCGCAAACGGGGCGCGCCCCCCTGTTTCAATCGTTGCGCCCCGTTTAAAACACCTCCGCCCCGATTAAATTCCACCACAATAAAAGTTTGCCAGCGAGGGAATCCATCGTCAAGAATTCCCATTCGACCAGGACAACCGGCATGTGTATTTTTACCGTGCCACGCATGCACTGCAGACAATACACAAGTACAAACAGTCAACCTGTCCCACACCCAACACTAACTGTACACCGACTCGCCTATCTTATATATACAAGAACCCCAAATACCGTCTATGGTGTGGTGATCATCGCATAGCTAGTGGGTCGGCACTTTCACCTGTTGTTTGTATAATTGTAGGAAATGTAATCATTGAGATCCTGTCGTATGTTTTGTATGTTGGGGTGATGTTGACGTTAGGGCGGAGTGTTTCACGAATTAATTTGACTAATATTGGTAGTTATTGAGATATCAGATATTCTTGCGAGAGCCGGAATCCTATGTTTTTTTAGTATTGATTTGATACGTGTAAGGTTTCATGATATATTGGCGTACAGTTATGGGTTTAATTTACATTTAAGTTGAGTCTCCTTTTGAGGTCTCAACGGGGAGAGTGTGTTAAAGATTGACTACTGTACTAAACAAAAGTTGAGCACTGTACTTGACTCAGCCAGCTAGCCGGTAGGTTTTGGCTTCGCCGTTGATCTCAGGCGTTAGCTGGCGTTTCTCGATTGTCAGCGAGTCAGTTGTACATTTGAGAGTGCTGGTGAAGCACTGTAAACTACGTGTATACTGTGTACGCTGTTTACTGCATAAGTACTCTATACGCAGTTGATATAGTATGTGAATGGCCAGGCTTGTGTCAATGTATGTGGTTATGCCTAGAGCATTAAAGAAAGACGTTTCTGTGTACACCTGCAATCTGTGTTAGAGTTTTCTGAACAGTAGCTGCATCATAGCTGCCACAGTGTAGTTGCCATCTGTTTTGTGCCTATGATGCTACATTTCGGGTGACGTCACGCGTGCACACACAGCATTTCAAACGGAATTTGGAAGTAGTGCTGGCACTTTTAGGAATAAATGGATAAATACATGGTGTAACGTTGTGGAAAGTGTTCAAAAAGATAGGTGAGATGTCTATGTTGATAGATAAGTGTTAAAAAGCCCGATAATTTTGCGTTTTGGGGATAAATTTTTGGTCCCATCAGTTGGACCATTTGCATAGATTACATCTATGGCAGAATGTGCTATAGCCCTGCGGCAGCGATCCGCGGGCTATAGACTATAGTACTAGAGCTATCCCTAACCCTAACCCTAACCCTAACCCTAACCATATCAGATAGTTACCAGGGTACGTTCCGGTATACCAGACCGTACCCAGTGTACGTTCCGGCAGTACCCTGGGGGACATAGACCCTATGAGCACTAGTAATACTAAAGTATAGAGTACTAAGAGTAGGGATAGTTGTTGTTCGTGATGATGATGATTGATGTTAATGTTGTTGTTGTTGTTTGGAATGCATTGCCATTACCATTGCATTAGCTGTGCCAGTGTAGTCCTTTCGCTCCCGCTACAGGAACTATTTGCTCCCGCGATTTAAAATTAATGTATAATGTAACGTTTTCCTTTTGTGTGTAGTTGATCAGGTCGTGATGGTCCCATAGGGGTGACACGTCGGGTCCTGTACCTCGACTGCCAGGTACGTTCTGTTATGACCAACCACGACACGACAGTGACGCTGCCAGGGTCTATGTCTCCCTGGGTACTGCCGGAACGTACCCTGGGTACGGTCCGGTATACCGGAACGTACCCTTGCAGGGTTCGTAGCGGGTCTTCCAAAGGCTTATAAGTACTTATTTTGCCAAAAATAAAATAAGGGCCCTTATTAGTACTTATTTTTAGCTCATCTGACATAGTCAGATGCAGCTTGTAGAATCGCATGATCGTCCGTGCGTCCGTCCGTCAGTCCGTGCGTCCGTC